CATATTATGATATTAGAATAAATAGTGTTTATAGTGTTTAATGATGTATATGAAGAATCTAATGTTGAATCATTGCTAGCTTCGACTGTCAAATAATCGCTTTATTTTTAATCTAAAAATAATAAATAATAAAAATAAACTTGGAAATGAATGCATCGCTTCGTTTAAAAGAAAATTATCTGAAATTTCTTTTTAATCATTCAAAATCATGTATTTCATTTAAAATATTGATAACTCTTTAGGAAAATATTAAAAAAAAGCAAAGATTCATGGAAGCAAAAAACGTGAGTCATTCGATTGCGCAGCATTTATGGCAAATTGAGTATGAAACACTGGCAGTGGAGCGGAGCAACGGCAATGCCGGCACAAACTAATATAAAAACGGGCGTGAAAAAAGCGGATTTTGAAAGTCAAAGTCATTTACTTGGCGGCTTGATGGCTTAGTGGTTTGGTGGCTCGTTGACTAACGACGAGGCATCCAAGCAACGTAAGCGAGCAGCAAACAAATTATTCTGTGGTACAACATTTACCATCAATAATAACTAATTTTTCACCTTTACAAGTGAATTAGAGAATTAAACAGAGCGATAAGTTGGTTGGATGTGTGGGCGGACAATGCAGTATGGACACCGTTATAATATATGTTTTGAAATATTATTTAATTTTTCCTTTAAGTCTAATATTTCCCTTCATTGGATTTTTCATTTGGAACTTCATTTTCGCCTTACGAAAAACTTGGAACTACAAACAAATTATTCATCCGAACTGGAGTAAATATAAATCTTAGATTGCAAAATATTATGAACTTTTATTCAATTAAAGCAAATATTCTCACTTATTGTTTCTAACAAATATTTCTTATTTATATTGAATTATTTGAAAGTAATTTTTATTTGAATATCTAATATTAAAAATGCTATAAGGCGTACAAAGTGTTCAGTACCTGATGACATCATGACTCAAATAATTTCACAATGAATAATGCAGAACGACAAAGTACGCTCGTTTGTTTAAATATTGAGAAATTCATATATAAACAATTAAAAATGTGTATAATAAAAATGTTTATATTAAAAAGTAACGAAAACTCATTTTTGTTTAAAAATATTTTTTTTTTTGAAAAGTATTGAGAGAGGAACGAAGAGTTTCTAAAGTATTTCGCATGCTACAGCTAAAAATTGTTGCAAAAATTAATAAATAATTTTGAGAAAAACTAAAACAAATAAAATTAAAAAAAAAAAAATTAAAATCAAAACAAAAAAAATTAAAATTAAAATCAAAAAAAAAATTAAATTAAAAAAATTAATAATTAAAAAAAAATTAAAATTAAAAAAAATAATTAAAATTGAAATAATTAAATTTAATTATAAAAATATAAATGTGTACCGTAAGTGGATTCAGTCTATGCAACTAAAAACAAAACGAGTAAAAACAATTAACTTATGGGATCGCTGGTCATGCAGCTATCACGGGTAATGAGTAAATCTGATTCACTCCGGGCACCATTACTTAAAATTATAACTCAAGGGAAACAAAAAAAAATATTATTTACATTATTTTTTCCGCTTTAAAAAATTTTAATATCAACCTCACTCTCTCTTTACTCCAAACCAACCACGTTACTCTAAAATAAGTTCACATAATATTCAGCCCCTTACCCATCCAACTCGTCACAAAAGAAATTAAAAAGCTTCATCTGTGTCCATCTGGAACATTTCCAAATGACTTGTATGGCATATATCCCCTGTTTTATGTAATATGAAATCACTTTACGCAGCTTCCTTTCAACTCTTTCTTCAGATTTGAGAAAATTAAAATAAGTGGATATTTTTCTGTTATTTCTTAAATATTTAAAAAGATTTCACTTCTGACACTCGTTCGCTATTTTAGGTTTCAATGTCAATACAATAGAATCATACAATGAATGTACCACATATACAGTCAAACCTTTCTATAACAAAATCGTTGGTACCTGCCAAAAACTTCGTTTTAGAGAGGAATTCGCTATAGAGAGGTTCAAAACTTTGATATAGGGAGGAATTCGTTTTGGTCAGAACAAATTTTTTTTTTGAAGAACACTATAGAACTATAAACTATAAACAGATAACAACAATAACGAAAAACAATTTGAAAAGCTTTCAATAGTATCTCTCCGCTTTAAGATGGATTTGCATAAAAACTTATACAATATACTAGTTAATAGATATAGTAGTACAATATATCTAAGACATAATACTAGTATTTAAACTAACCTATAATATTGCAGTATAATATATTACAATACTATAATTTATAGATATTATCAAAAAATAAAAAAATATCGCAGTGGGTCGTTCCATGAGCGTTGTGATGTAAAGCAAAAATAAGAGGAATAGGGAAGAATACTGAACCTAATCTTAGTGTAGGAGAATAATACTTGCCACCTTAATGAGCTCATGTCATAAACTAAAAGGTTATATCCATTTGAATATAAAACCAATGGGCGACGTTACGAATATAGCAGCAATGACGGTACACATTGGAGATAGACATATATATGCGAGACAACTAACTGTTTAACACGTATCTATCTCCTGATGAAAAGTGATCAAGTTACCTATTTTCACAGACAAAAAAAGTGTCAAACACTTTAAAAGCATAACGATGAACGTCTTGACACCATTTATTTATAAACTAGTGGGATTAGCTATTCTTATTAAACAACCAGAATTTCAGACAGACTTTCAAAAAAGTAGAGTCTTCCGGTCTTCAAACACATCTGATAAGAATTTGACCAGTAAAATGACATTTGTATTTTTACTAATCAATCTAAATATACTAATCAATAATATACTAACGTGTCAATCTAAATTTAATTTAATTGCAATATTCTCAAGATGTAGTGAGTATTGAAGAGACTTCATAGATTTCCAAAGGAAATCAGTTAAAAGTCAGTTTTTACAGCTACAAATAAATTAATAAGAAAATCAAAGCAGAAACTGATATGACCAAATTTTAAAAACAATTCATAATTAATAATAGCTTAAGAATATTGGTGCAAAAACACATGCTTCAAGCTAAATCCTTGATTAATATAAAAGTTGATTATAATATGACAATATCAGAAATGCGAATAGTATAAATCACTAATATAAATTAGTGATACTATGAATGTGCATAATTTTAACATAAACAAAAACACAGACAAAAACAACACATTAATGAATCAAAATGACATAAATTTTTAGAGAGCATTTAACCGTACAAGTTTTTATACAACCAATTTAAAATTTAATAAACGGTGCTATTAATATCGAGTATTGCGTTGAATGATATTGACCCAATTCCACCCCTTATCTATCTTGATTATTCTAAACAACCCCACTGCTTCTGAGTTTTTTCCTACCCAAGCAACATCTCAATTTATTTTGTAATTCCTTTCATGATTCTTGCAATATAGATTTCTTCGTGCTATAACAACAACAATAACACTAGAAAATTATATATGAACCATCGAAGACAACATTATTGAATAGTTATAACTATATATAAATATACAGGTATATGGTGCGATATATCTATCACAAACTGTTAAAGTTTATAAACAATAAAGCAAGGCAATAATATCTCTGTTCTGCTCTGTTCTAACAACATTTATAAGCTACTAGCTATATAGGACTTATACTTAGTTGTTTATAGGAAAACTAATCACCTATTTGCTTTACTATATATGTACTTCATACTTCATTATTATATACACGTGATATATATCGTGTACCAGACTTATCGGACCCTTCTCACTGAACGTTAATTTGTAAATACATATGATAGTTTTTTTTTTTTTTGTTTTTGTTGATTTCATTTAATAATATACCATCGCAACTATAGCTATTCTATAATATTATTTTAATCATATTGTTGTTGTAATCCGCAACGAGAACGACTAAAAACAATTGATCGTAAATACTGACAATTGGTCTCGAGACTTTGATTTGATTCAGTCCAGTTGGGAACCACTTCTTATATTTACTTAAACAATATAAACTGTTAGATAGCAAAGCCTTAACTTTGTTCGCAATTATGACGCTGAAAAAGTGGTTATATCTTATATTTCCAAACTACATTTAATATTTGTAGACCCTTGGACATTACTGATAGTTTTGCATTTAAATTGCAGCACGTAAAGCAATGTTCATATCAAAGATTGATATGCGGTCGCATCATTAGATATACAATTTTTATCAGCAAGTGAACGTTATAGGCACATCATTCTAAATGACTATCTACTTGAATGTCCCACTACGTATACAGATTTGACTTGTATTCAATTACTATTTTCCTTATTTTCAAATGTCTAATAATTTAATTGCAATTTTATTTAGATTGTGAGTGCAAATGGACTGGACACAAAAATGTATATATAATAATCTACACTAGGTAGTTTATATACTCTAAAATCAGTGGTTTATTTTCAATACTAGGAGCAGAACTACGATACATATATATATATGAAAGCACACGACTTCATTATATATTATATTGTATTATTTTTATAACACATAAATCATTGCATGTAATATATAAAATATTATATATAATAAATATACATAAAATACATAAAAAATATATTTAATATATATAAAATATTATATATAATATATTATATTTAATATATATATAATATATATATACAAAATATTATATAAAATTTATATGAATATAATATATATATATATATTATATTATATATATAATATATTATATTATAATATATAAAATATTATATATAATACATAAAATATTATATACAATATATAAAATATTATGTATCACATGGAATATACTAAATCACATTATTCTATTTTTATATTACATATTGCACTTGATATTTTTTAAATATTTTTAAAATTCGATTAAGATTTTTTGTAAGAACTGAATTTCATCACAAACACGTTTAAATGCTCTCAAAACAAAACAAAAAAAAAACAAAAAAACAAAAAAAAAAGTGATTTCTGACTTACCGAGTCCATACTTGTAGAAAATCTCTTCAACTGATATGATTTTTGGCTGTAGTCCCTTAGTATCCTGTTCAAAAGTAGTTGGCACCTTCTTGGCTGTAGCTTCAGTTGGTTGCGGTTTAATTGGTACACTGGATGACTCTGCTTTAACAGTGATTGGAGTTGGAGCTGGAACTGGAGCTGGAGCGGTAATTGTTTCAATTTTTGGCTTCGTTTCTGGTATGAAGGTGGATTTAGTATCGAAAACTTGCTTGCCTGCATCAAATTTCGATGAATCATCTTCAGCTTTGTACGTGCCCTTTGCAATAATTTCCACGTCATTGTCCTCATCAAGATCAGTTGTAGGCACAATACCGAAGGACGAAACTTTATTGGTAAAATCATTTATGCCAGAGCTTGCAAATGTCGGAACTCCAACAGTTGGAGCAGCATGAAAATCTGGAGTAGGATTGCGTTCTTCTTTAAAATCACTAAGCAAATCCTCAGATGAAATGAATTTTTCGTTTTCTTGTTCCTTAAGTGCATCGGCGACTGGATGTTTTTTAGCTGGAGACGGATTATAAGATATTGATGGAGAATCAGTATCTGAATCTTTGTTGGTTTGTGCTATATCTGCTGATTTATTGACAGATGCAATAATTGGTTCGTCATAATAATTAGTCATTGGAGCAAGTGGTGCTGTTGGAACGTTACCGATATTAAACAAATCATCTTCGGGAACAACATATTTGTTAACAGCTGGTGCTGGTGCTGGTGCTGGTGCCGGTGCTGATACAGGTGCTACTGGAGCTGGTTTTAGTACATCTCCCTTTAAAACATGGGTATCGAAAAAATTACGTTCAGCATTCATGAAATCATGAGTCATAGCAGCCATGCCTTGACGGCCGTCCTGTTGAATTTGTGCACCAATATCGTGAGTGTCCTGAAGAAAATCCAAATCTTGTGTTTTTTGTGCGAACTTGGCATCCAATTCTTCTTGTGCTTCCTTTGCACCAGCCGACATACGCTGTACAAACGTTTGCGGATCAACATGCTCGAAATCAAAGTCCTTCATTGCAGCCGAATGGAGGTTATTATCATGCGGTTCGGTTGAGACATCATCAATCAGATTTTGAGCTGCGCTCACTACGGAGGTGGCCGCCTTTTTACCAACATCAGTAACATGAGTGAAAATATCCTCACCAGTAGCGGCAGCCTCCTTTTTTAAATCAGCAAAATTAAAATCCATTTTTTTTTGTTTTTTGTGCAACTATCAAGGATATGAAATTTAAAAAGGAACGTTTGAATTTTGTGTTTCCAACAGTTTTTAGGGTATCTTTCCCGTACGATATTTTCTTGCCAAAAAAATATTTCCAACTGGATTTTTAAAACTATTTGACACTTGTTTTACACACCTTGTTCTGCTCACACTCACTGTATACTATATTAAAATAATTTTGTCCTTTTTTTTGTCCTTCTCGTAAATTTTCTTTAAACAAGAAAATTGTGTTTTTTATAAAAAGTCAGACTTCAACGTTCCACAGTAATTTTAGGCTTTTATCACAAATTAGCTTTTTAATTGCACAAAATCTATTTGTTTACAATTTTAAGTAATTTTTTATTTTACTCCAGCAAACTATTTTCAAAACAATATAGCAGCGCGGTCGCCCCGATAACGTCGTCTCGATGCAAAGCACAAACTGCAAATAAAAACTTAAAATCTTCTTTGTGTTTGTGTGTATGCATGTGAAGCCATAGAATAACTCGATTAAACAAAAATTTCGAATATGAAAAATGAAATTTTATTCCACATCCCATTAAACACTCATATCACTTATATAGCAATATATGATTAAATAGATTAAAATTACAGAATTTTACACTGCATTATTAACAGTATATATACAAGCAATATATATTGAAGAAACATATATATAAATTAATATTTGGAAGACAATAAAATAATATATTATAAATAAAGCCAAACTCTACGTTATTAATACAAATACTAAAAAATGAACTTAAATTAATGTATATAAACCAAAGTAATACCATTACTACTATTTTAAGTTGAACTTATATTATTATTGAAATATTTATTGGAGCAATTATATATACGATATATATATATATATATATATCTGATATTACGTCTGCTCCACCAGCTACTCGTAGTAAAACTCAAGTAAAACACAAGTAAAGAGCAAACTCAGAGCGTAACACAAGTAAAATGCCAGGTTACAGTTCAGATTACGCACTTGTGTACGCACAGAGTTACTCGAAGTTACTACGAGTAGCTCGTGGAGCAGACCTTTTTGTGTGCACATAAAATTTCACAATTTCCTTCACGTTATCTCATTCTTGTGTTATATGACGCAATTAATTTTGCTATGCAAAAACAATACCGGTGCGTAGATACACAAAAAGAGAACTTCTGATAAATTTTGAACTATTGTGCAATTAAATTGTGCCTTTCAACATGAAGTTCAGATGATATATGTACATATATTTATCTCTAAAGTGAAGGATTCAGCAGTCCAGTTCCTTAATCATAGTTTACTTTAAAATTGCTTTTAGTGTTAACTCACAAATAAATTATTATATATATTTTTATCTCTATTATATATCAAAATCTCATGAATATGTTAAACTAAATAATTATTAATTTATAAATTTTTAAGTATATTTAATATTAACGTTCAGTTATTTACTTAAAGGTTTGTTTAATACTTTTCTTAACACTCAAGATTAATTTATAACACTCTAGATATTTTGCCAGAGTAGCAAGATTATCCTGAAATAAACAGCTGTTTCGTGATTTGACAAATAATATGTAATTTAATTCAATATATATTAATAAAAAATATAAATGTCTACTAATGCAACTACAGTAAATTCAGATTAAATTCAGAATTACCAATTAAAAATTTTAAAGATAACACAAAATGAATATGATTCAAATTTTGTCATTTGAAAAGTTCGATTAATTTGGTTTTATATCTGCTTTTGAACTAAACCGGGCGGCGCATGCAATGACATAACCTGGACCCGCAATATTTACTGATGAAGCTTGTACAGACTCTTCATAATTTTATTTTATTTTTTACAAACATTTTTAAACATTTTTATATTAGAATATCATATTTTAAAATCACATATATATACAATTTTAATCGTATCAAAATTAATTCAAACGAAAATAATACAGAAATTTTATAAGGCAAAATTTTTATCACTACACTATTTTCTTTTTATTATTAGAGACTTGGCAACTCTGTTTACACAAGAAATATTTTTGCAAGGGTTGTTTTTGCAATTTTTACTCTGTGTACATATTTTGACTCATATTTATGACTTAATTTTTCTGAAGAAATCAACATATAATTTCTTTCTACATAAATATGATGATCAGTATGACTAGTTGAAAAAATTATTATTAGAAATTCTTAAAATACATTAGCAACAAATTTTTGGTTTTAACATGTAAAATTCTAACTTGAATATAAACCCCACTGGCGGCTTTTATTTTTATGAGTTTGGAAATATGCAGCAAAAACAGCTGCTTACAGTGGAATCGATTGTTAGCAAAATTAAAAATTTCATTAGTATTTACCGCTTTAAAAACACATCAAATCTATCTATCTATAATTAATTTTAAATTAAATATATTTTGAAATCGATTTTAAGTGGTTTTTATACAAAACCTTGTATTATTGTAAATATGTATATGAGAATTATACGGCGTTTACATTGGCCGAAAATGGCTCATTTTGAATGACTCATTTGAAAGTGTTTACATTCGTTGTATTTCATTCGTTCTCATGGTAACAATTCAAACTGAAATAAAACTACTAAACATTTGTTTATCTTTTTTGTAAATATGTCAAAACAGCTTTTACAAACTGTCAAAATGCCATGAAGAGCTTTCATTTAGGGTATGTTCAATAGATTCCTTTGCATTTGGAACATATGTGGAATGCATTCGAACGTCATTCATACAGAATGTGAGAAAATTGCTCATTTTGTGCTTGAAATTTTATATGCAAGAATGAGCCATTCGATACTCATTTTCGATTTTTGACCAAAATGAGCCATTTTCGGCCAATGTAAACGCCGTATAAAGTTTGTATTTCTTTTCTTCATATTAATTTAATTTATTTTAATCAACTATATAACGAATATCATTTAATTCAATATATATATCATAATGTTATGTACTTTGGTCATACTATGTGAAAACTATAGGGTTCTTATAAAGATTTAATAGACGTTACGAATGGTTCTTAATAAAAACAATTATTTTAAAATTAAACAAAAATATTTTTCAGTTCTTAATACTAATGATTTTTATTTTCTAGTATTGATTTTATGTAAATATCTTTGATAAACTAGATGTCATTAGAGTAATATATTTTTCATAAGATGATTAAGTACTTTTTTTAAAGGTAAAAGTCAAAAACTGAAACCCCATTTCAGTGATTAGGGAAAATACAGACATAGGAGTACAGAAATAAGCCAAAAATAGAAACGAGTGATAATTACTAATTTGTTTAGTAATAATTATTAAGGGTAAACTTTGTGCAAGGGATTGTTGCAACCACAATTGACCACGCAGAGCGGGATTACAGAAGAGACTTGGACAATATCGTTCAGATAAAAACGATATTTAGTCAGCAATTGAGGAGACTTGCATATCATATAATTCAGTAGATTAATAAGGAAATGAGTTGGATATATAATATCAGGATAATTTAATAGGTTGGATATATAATATCCGGTCAAAAACTAAATTAATTAAAAGAACTTATTATGTGCTAAGAAAATGTACAATTAGAGTCATGATATATGTTCAATAACTTACCACGATTACGTCTTGCAATTTGAATCAGTTCTATTGCCAAACAGATAATTTCCTCCTAAATAGACTCCTTTGAATTATAGCTTATTTGATTCTTTAGAATATTTTCTTATAACAAAATCTTATCCTCAAGTGAGGACGTCAAAATTAATTGGATCAGTTTGTAGTCAATTAAGATTAGAATTCTTATAAACGTAAAATCAAACTGTAGACAAAAGTTTGCAATCAGTATGAAGCAAAATTGAGAATAAATAATTCAATAATATATATATATATAAATATATATAATGACAAAATTGGTTTTCTTTTTTTTACACATAAATAGTGAGGGCAGCAATTTCTTCAATATCAAACATTAATTTTAAGACTTACTTTGTTTCACTTATGTCTTCTAAATCTATTAAGGTTGCCTCCACCATATAATAGGTTTATGCACTCTATTTTAGGTCGACTAATAAGATAGAATCCTATTAAACCACATTATTAACTGTTTTATACTGTAAACATATATCGTAAGTGTGCTAGAGCAAAATTCCCTGATACATGCACAGAACATGCAAACCCATATGTATCATACGATATCACAACCAACTATTTTGCATAGATTCATATAATCCGTCTGTCAGTCCTCAATATAATCTGTTGAATTTTATTAGAAAGTGTATGGAAACAATATCAATGATTTTAATTATATAAAAAGTTTATATTATTTCAATAAAAATCTTAATGTACATTAATTAAGCATTAATAATATTAACTTTTACGCAAATTGCAATATTATGAAATATTTATATTAATGCAAAAATTCATATTTTTTACGATATATTAACATTGGTTGCTGTCTTGAATAAACAAATAGTTGTGGTGCTGTCAACAAAGTCCGTAATAATTTAAAATATTATCGAATTCTGTAAACAAATAAACAGCTGACACAATTTAATGATATATATCATTAAATTGCAATTCACTTTTATTTTGCGTATTTAACTAAATTTTGTGTATTTTATATATCTATAGTTTATTAAAACTTATTGATTATTTAGGACAACATACCCAAAACATGATTCAAAATTGTTTAATATATTATATTTATATAAATAAAGTATATATAAAATGAACATATTAATTTTATTTATATTATATTTATTTATTTATATTTACATAAATAATATACATATAAAATAATGTATTAATTTTTTTTGTTTGCGAAAATTATTATTAAGTTCTCTCCGATCTTGATTTAGCACGCTAAACTTGTGCTAAATTGCTATAATATTAGTTTTGAAAAATTTGTTAAAAAATTTATTTGCACCTACTTCACTACCAGTAGCGTGACGCTTGAAACCGGTTTTTGGTAGAAGAGGCGAGACAAATATATCGAAGTTATCAGTTAGTTTATGATAGAATAACAATTGGTGTATTTACTTTTTAAATTTAATAGTTATCTTTATACGCTGTTCAGACACACTTTAATTTCATCTCCGTTTCAGCGAAATGACATTGTTTTTTTCCATACAAAATGCAGTTTTAAGTTTAGAACAAAATTAAAGAAAATTGCCTTAATTTCGTTGAAACGCGGAAGGCTGAAATTAAGGGACATTTCCAATGCAACTATGCGTTAAATAAATTTTAAGCAAAAGATAAAGTTGAGATAACGAAAAGTAAAATTTTTTTTAATAAAATTTCAATGAAGGTTGACTTTAACGAGACCGGGAAAATATTTTGATTTTAGTGTAAATGTTTAAATTTGAATGTAGAGAAAAACTGTAATTGTTATTAATTTAAAATAGAATGAAAAATAATAATTTACATACCTGAAATCTATTAAAGCTAATAAAACTACTAAATGCCATCTTTTATAGTTATAATAATTAACTTTTAAAATGATGTTTGGAGCAAGTAATTCCTAACATACGATTTGTACACAAAAAACATATGATTTCCTTAATTTGGGGCAGTATGAACACTTTATAAATTAACTTAATTTAATTTTTATGAAATCAAGGAATTTTGGCTACCTGAACATAGTATATAACCTTTATATATAAATAACATTTATATAAATTTATATTATTTATTTATTATAATTAATTACAAAATATAAAATCTTATAACTAAGATAAGAAAAACGAGCGCTAGCTGCCAGGGCCTTGAGCTCGGATATTATTAATTAAATTTTATATATTAGGTTACAGGCTTTAATATATTTATACCATACATCAAAAGTATATTTTCAACAGTATTTGTTTTTAATAGCCTGGTAGGTAAGATATTACTACGAATAGAATTAAAAGAAAGGCAATCGTTAAGAATATGATGGTGTGCAATTGCAGAATGGATAGTTTGATGGCTGATCGCCACTCAAAAAATGTTCATGAAAAAGCTTTGAATGTCCCATTCGCAATTGGATGAAAATCTTACATTGTTTACGAATGCATGATTACGGATATATAGCTTTTAAATCATTCCACCATCGCTAGATGGTTGTACACTGACCATTCCATAACCAATTCGTCTTCCAAACGTTTGTTTATAAAGTTTAAAATGTCTTTTCTTTTTTTTGACAATATTTTTGCATGTGTAGTCAAAATTGATATTTGTGCTTTGTATATTTCCAATCTGGTTTAAGTCTACGATATACCGTCAACTCTAGTGGTGAATAGTAGAAGTTTTAAAAAGCAGGCATATGCTGTCATCTCACTCGTTCAAATGCTAAATTAGCTGATATAAAAATTTCTCTTTTTGGTAAATAAAGAAAATTTAAATAAGATAAAATTTGAAAAAAATAACACAATAATGCCAGTTGTTAAGCAGCAGCAGTGTTCATCGAGTAGCGAGTTAAAATGGGTAGTCTTGACGGTAGTGTTGACGGCACAAATGAAAATCACCAAGCAAAGTGCTTCGAGCACACCGAGCAGGGCGGCGAGAATTGCCGCTCAAGTGTCAACAACACAATAAGCAATAACCAATCAAGTGAAAACTATATAAGCGCCGATTCGCAAAGTTACAACAACAAACACATGCACAACGCTGCAAGTGCACACGATTTGCAAAACCAAAAGAAATTCTCATCGCCGGCTTACACGGAAATTCGCACAAGAAAAAACGGACTCAAGGCTGCTGCTGCAGTGACTACAAACGGATTCAAGGTAAAGAAAAAATAGAAAAGAAAAGCAAGCAAAAGTCAAAAGCAAAATTCAAATCAAATCTGAAAAAAAGTGTGTAAAAAAAAGCAAAATATTTCTTGTGTCAACATCGCCTCCAAGAACACAAAACACAAAAAAAGATCAAAATTTAAAAATAACTGCAAAAAATCATAAAATCAAAATGACAAATAATAAATAATAAACAAAATGAGTGTGTCAAACGGTCAAACGATCAAAATTCAAGATTCAAAAAAAAAGCAACAAAAAAAAAAACTCAAGAATTCAAAAAATGGGTGGCCTGATTGATTTCAATTGAAATTACTTCATTTTCGTGGCCTCCGCCGCTGCTTGCTTCTCCAGCACAAAATAAATACAATAGGAAGGGAAGCCATAAAAGAGACTAATCTACTGGCTGGAAGCGAACGCGTGTGTAATGCGCTACTCACTGGAAGTGCATAAATCCGAAAAAATGTGTGTGTCACACCCCTGCAAAAATCGTACGCGTGCTGCTTATTAATGTTGTATTTTCTTTTTGTGTTTTGTTTTTCAAATAAAAATTCAAATGAAATTTTTTTTCTTTGCAATTTTAAAAAAAATTGTCATAGAATTGACGTGCAATAAAAAAATAATTGTTGATCGAATATCGTAATTTGTGCAGCACTGTTTTTGCTATGATTTTTTGCTGTGTGTTTTTGCCGCCTTCCATTTTTTTTTTTTCTTTTTGGTTGGAAGTAACTGACGTTTTGGGAATTGCGCGTGTTTTTGTGTGTTCTTTTCTTGTGATTTTCGCTGTTTATGTCAAGGATAAACACACAAAAAAAAAAATAAAAAAATTCAGTTGCAGTTCCTTAGCTTTTTTGATTTTTTTTTTTGTGATTTTTGTTTAATAACAGAAGCACTGTTTTTTCTCTATTTTATCAAGTTATGTGCAATTTTATATTGAAATAAATAAAAAATAATGTCTGTTTATTTTCATTTGCAAGTGACTTGGTCTTTTATGTTCGTATCCATGCCTCGTCACCACAGCAACTTCCTTCCACTTTTGTTTTTTTTTTTGTTTGGGAATTACGTCAAATGCATAACATGCAATTTCTCAATTATTCAATTACTCAATTTCTGCTTCAAAATATTGATTTTTAATGACCCAAGTGTGCCCGCGGCTTTTTTCAACTTTTTTTTTGGTGAGGCCAAAGTGAAGATGTAATTGGGTTAATAGAACTTTTAAACGTTTTGTTAAAGAAAAATAATAAAATTGCCACTTAATGTCATATTCGCTTAATTATTTTAAATTTTATTTATTAACATTTATAATAAATAATCATAATCATTCATAATTTTAGATCTTTTTATTATTTTTAAAAATATTTGTTTAGAGGTTTTCTTTAAGAATTTTAAAGCATAATCCGACATTTCTTCATATTATCTTTCGTTTTTAGTGCAGTTTTGTGCGCTTTCGCTGCACTTTTGTTGCTTTTAGTGCAGTTTTGGAGCATTTTATACGATGTTAGTGTGGTTTTGTATGCTTTTAGTGCAGTTTTCTAGTCTTTTTGTGTAGTTTTTTAAGGTTTCGGTGCATTTTATATGCTGTTCGTGTACTTTTGCCTAATTTTGTTCTATTTTAAAGCATTTTGTACTGTTAGAGTACATTTTTGTACACTTTCGGTGCATTTTTGTTGCTTTTAGTGCAGATTTGTACACTTTTGGTGTACTTTTGTTGCTTTTAGTGCAGTTTTGTACACTTTCGGTGCACTTTTGTTGCTTTTAGTGCTGTTTTGTTTGCTTTTGAAGCGTTTTGTACGTTTTTGATGCACTTTTGTACGCTTTTAGTGCAGTTTTGTCTGATTTATATGCTTTTAGTGTAGTTTTGTACATTTTCGGTGAATTTTATACTATTTGAGCTTTTAGTGCACTTTTGAACGGTTTTGGTGCTATTTAATCCGGTTTAATGTTGTTTAATCCATGTTTGGTTTTGTAAGTGAGCACTTTTACTGTTTTTTTAGCGCTGCTCTTGTGAAATGAAACTTGTTTTCGTCTTTGTGATTGGTTTTGATCGGTATTTGAACTGTTAATAGTACAAAAACTTAAGTTTAGCAGCACTTTTGCAGCATTTGTTTAAACAGATTGTTAATTTTAAACAGAACTATCATTCAAGACATCGAGATGGCATTGCATTGTTTAACAATCTCACAACATGTAAAGACACTATTGAATTTTATATTTTTCATTGAATTTTCTTTGGTCCCTCTTCCGTCCAAGTAGTCCATAAACGCCGTTTTGTCACTACAAACCCGGTGATAAAAGTATTGGTTTTACATTTAACCTTCGTGGTTGATAAAGCAAATTATTTTTTGAAGATCAGCTTTTAGAATGTCCGCCAGGCTCATTAGTCCATAAACTATAATAGTGGAATGTCTTAATCTTGTAAATAGAGTGTCTAGTTGTTTCTTTTTTTTTTTTAAGAATTTTCTTCAGTGTTAAAAATGTTTCAATTGTAATCTCTATAGTTACAATAGCTTTTTTTGACGTTAATTTAGATATAGATATGTGAAAGGTATGTCCTTTCAACAGGATTTTGTCAACGCTTTTTATTTTCAAATATAAGTGGTGTGAATTGCTTACTTACTGTTGTCCTACTCTCCTAGTGGAGCATTGGGCCTCAAGTGATGTGAATAGGCTGCCAAAATTAGCCGATTTGTAAATATTGGATTTTTTTTCTTTTGGTTAACGCTAAAGATTTTGTTTATGCAGGCAATCCACATACTCCATGAGGTGAAAACGAGCATTCATTAGCTCTATGATGTTATATTTCACTCTTAATGGCAAGGTCCAAACCATATACTGAATAAAAAGTTTTGGTTAAAAAGTTTAACCAAAAGTTAAAAGAAATGAGTTATTAAAACAAATATATATATAAAGCTGTTAGAGAAACTTATCGTTTAGACCTAGTGCCTTGTATGGGAAACTCTTATGTAGAATTTAAAACTTCTCTTCAATCGATATTGACTGATATTAAGAATACCGTGAGATAAAGAGTTGTGATAATTGTATTGACGTATTGCCTTTACATAGAAGTCTAATGTTTTATTATTGTTAGAGTTCGGATTCTACTTTTGTCTTTGCGAACACTTGTTTGCCAAGAGTGGAATTTCGAACTCACTAACTCATCTGATACATTTCTGATGGTACTCATCTGATACATTTGCGAGATTTGGTACTTTGCCTTATATTCCTTATTCATGTATTGTATCAACTGAAATAAGTTATGAGTTTCCAAAAGTACCTGGAATTAAGTCCCGGAACCTCTTGCCTAATCAAATTATCAAGCACCACTCACCATTCCCAATAGCGACAATGCTATATCGTCCTTTTGTATTAAAAAAAAATGGTTCTTATAAGTTTTTTTAAGTACCGTGTGTAGTGCTGTCAGTTCCTCAAAATAAATACTGAATCGGACAGTCACATAATATATGTAAAATCATTTTCTTCAATTTTTTATCTTGATAGTTTCTATAGAAGCCTCTACTGGGGGCAAACTATCTATTCGCTATCAATTAGAGTGCACTGAAATTCTTCATCCCATTTCTCCACTTGTGAGTTTTTAATTACAGCTTGATTATCAGTGAAAGTAAAGATATTGCTATAAAATACCTTATAGAACATAGGCCGATAGATTGCTTTAAGCAGTGCCAAGTTTCAATATTGTTTCTTATAAATATTTCTGGTTGGATTGTCCTATGAATTTATAAAACAGTTGCTGTTTCTCTCATTAAAAAAATCAAGTTTCATCTCTTTGCTTTATAATGTCACTTTCTTGATAATAATAGTGACTATATCGCAACAATAGTATTGTTCCACAAAATTGATTAAGAAATCCAAAAAAATAAATTATAATCGATCTGCTTTTAGAGCCTGACTTGCGTCCCGGTAGTTATATATATCATTTCGTTGATAATAATAGTGACTATTTCTCTATAATGGTAGTTTCACACTGCAATTAATTAATTAATCCAAAAAAAATGATTCCCTGGCCAATGTGATCCGCGTGTTCTTGCAATGTTTTGACACTTGAATCTATCATTTTGTTTAATTTATATGATAAGTTGATCATAATAGTGACTATTCCTTTAAAGTGAAAGTGTCATACTAATATTGAATTAATAAATCCAAATAATCCAAATAAATTCCCTTTCGGGGTCTAAGTGATCCGTGTGATCTTGCGAGATGTTCTGACACTTGAATCTATGATTGTGTTAAATTTATAAGATAAGTTGATTATGATAGTGACTATCTTACTATAATGGTAATATTAAAAGAGAATGAGAAAGCTAAAGAAAAAAAATTATAGTGGATCTCTTTTTAGGCTCTTAGTGAGAAGCGTCTTTTTGTGACTGATTGAATTTTTGAATAAAATGTTTGGGAAGTGTAAGAGTGGATAAATTTTTAAGATCTTTAAATTTAGATATTTTTTTAGGTTAGTCGAATAGTTGAAGTACTGGTTAAGTGTTCTAGACAGGTTGTTAGATAAGTGTTTGAAACATGTAAGTAGTTGAAATTTATAAGGGCATATAAGACCCTTAGTTTCTTGTCTGTCCTTTGGATGGCTGGCTTTATTGATCTATTGAAGTAAAAGTTTTAAGAAAGTTTTATCATTCTAGAAACATGTTTCTAGATTTCTTAACTCGAACAATTTTATTTTACATGTTATAAAATAATCATAGTTTCTACAGTTAGTTCTTAACAATGTTTTGTAATTTTTAGTTATATGTTTTGTAATTCCTAAATAAGGAATAAAAACACTGTTCTGTGAATAGAAATAATTTAATTTTTAACAAAATCTCAAAGAGTCGAGCACTTGAACATACATTTCAAGTTTAAAAGTCCACTGAACACATATTTAAAGCTCACTTAACAAGCCCCTCTTCATAGTTTGACGTCATATATTTGACGATTTGGAAATCATATATCTCAATTTAAAATTTCAGTACATATTCTGTTTGTTTAGT